AGTATCGATCTGCTGTTCCAAGGAAATTTCATGTCCGATCACAGAATCACGTCTATTCAGGCTATTTGTCTCTTGTTGCAAGTGGCTCATAATTTTGACAAATCCGACATGGTCTGCATACTCGTCTCTACAGCCGTACGCATATCTCAGTGCCTCAATCTTCACGTACTTGGACCAGAAGCCCCAATCATAGCAACAAGCAATGGCACGGGACGAAAAAGGAGTGATCAGGACCTTGTGGAGCGGGAGATCCAGAAACGTATCTGGTGGTTTCTAGTGCGATACGACTGGTTGCAAATTCCGTTTCAGAACCTTTGCCAGATTCATCCAACACAGTTCACCACGCCCATCCCTCTGAACTGCTTTGACGAACCCGAACGCATGATACGGGATGGAATGGTCGTCACCCAGTCAGACCACGTATCTACTTCGACTCGCTGGACAGTCACAATGGACCAAGGTGCGTCATCGTTCATGACACCCAATCTTTGGCAACATTATACCCTTGCTGATCACGAGGTGCTATTCTACCACTTGTAGTGTCAGTTCTCATATGGAAGCACCAGGACCGAATAAATGCTGGCAACGCTCAAGGACAAGGTTCGCAAACCCTCGAAGCCTTGTATGAACACGTTATCTGGGCCGACAGAGAGATCAAACATCTCTATGCCACCTGGCCGCTCTTCATGCGCGAAGTTAATGCTTCGGCGGTTCAGGCTGGAACCAACGAATGCCTTCCTACAGTTCCGATGCCGGGTCTTTTGTTACTTTGCACTGCGCATAAGGTGAGTTTTCCCGCACTTGTCCTCAAACTCTATCGGCGTGTGAAGCAAACTCACATTATGTGTTATCCCAAGATCCTCAGCGTACATCGACACTTTCAGCTGCTGAGTTTTCGGGACAGACGCTTTGCTTTTACTCAGGTAGGCTACCATCAGCCAGTTCAGAAATATGTGACATATGCTGAGCTTGTAGATGTCCTGCCTCGCCGTTGTTGAGCGTGCTCTGAATGCTGTTCAAGCATGGCCTGACACAACCGAGACGCGCATCGCGCGCCGGATGTGGACGACTCTAACTCAAGTCGTATCCTGCTCAGTTAATCTGGTCTTCGCCCTTATCTACAAAAAACAGAACCCCCTGATGTACGACGTGTCCAAGCTTCGGAACTTGCTTTCTTTCACAAAGGACTTTTTGCAGCGTGAGCAGCACGCGAGCTCCATTGCTGCGCGGGGAGTCAAGCTCATCGGCGCTTTGGCTGACCTTGAGCGGTGGCCTGAAGGTCCAAAGGACATCGAGGAAGAGATGGGGCGTCTTGTGCGGCAATTTGCTGCAAGTGATGGCCGAGGACATGGCATGGTCCAAGCTGAGGCGCAGCAGATTGTATTCCCACCGCTAAGCCAGGATGTTTGGGACATATTCAACACAGGGGGAAGCGCCTTTTCTGAGTATTTGATGGATCAAGATTTTCAGATATGAAAAGCTTGTATAGCATCTTATGCCAGATTGGCCAGATATACGTATCTCACAGATTTGTTTGCACAACCCGTATAAGACAACTAGGAGTTCATTCCGATATGTGTGTTCCTCCCAGCATGAGTCTCAAGCTTCATTCACTGCATCGAGAAACATGGCTTTTTTACTGTTATTATTGGCTTATTGTTGGCGACAAGTGGTGACAGAACGGATCTCAGTGGGAGGTCGCCGGAACCATGCCAGATATGAAGGTCTCTCTTCCCGGATACACCCTACTTCTACTTCCAACAACCTGATAATTCGCATTGAGTCCCGGTCAAGGCCCTACGCGGGCACAAGAGAGCATGAAGGCGGCGTGTGTGGTAGGAGTCAATATCTGGCTTGGGTTTCTGAAAGTTCCTGAGTTCCGAGAAAAGCGGGTCTTCACTGCCCGAAAAGAGCGATGGATCTGGACATCATCCCCGGCTGGCCGACTATGTGGGCCAATCATCACCAGCGTGAGCCATTCCAACACCGAGGCCGAGGCTCACCACCGAAGAAATTTCAGCGTGCCAATTTTTGCTTCACGATCATTACATCCAACAGTCGGAGCCATCTCGAGCCGTCACGCCATGGCAAACAAGACATCCGAGTCGCGGAAGGCGCAGGCTTCGCCGCTGAAGAACGGCTACCTCATCCTCTACAACGCCGTCTCCGCCAGCATCTGGGTCAGCATCCTCTTCCGGACCGTCGCCGTCTATAGCAGACATGGCCCAGCTGCAGTGCCTCTCGCCGTAGCGAGCTGGACGCTGTGGGCACAGAGTGCCGCCGGCATGGAGGTCATCCACTCGCTGCTCGGTATGTTTCTTGATTATCGATTTCCTGAGGTTCGCGGCCGCTGACCAGTATCGCGCGGGTGTAAAGGCGTCGTTCGCGCTCCTGTCTTGACGACTTTTGTCCAAGTCGCTGGCCGTTGCACCGTTCTATGGGCGTACATCCGTCCATTCCCCCAGGTTGCACAGGATCCCGCCTACACCGCAATGGTCGTGGCGTGGAGCATCGCTGAAGTCATTCGCTACTCCTACTTCGTGTTCCACCTAAGCGACATGCTACCCAGGGCCCTGGTTTGGTTGCGATACAGCATGTTCTTCGTGCTCTATCCCGTCGGCATTTTAGGCGAGATCAGACTCGTCCTTTTAGCCACTGAGTTCTGGTGGTTACACAGCCAGGTCGTGCCCTACATCACATATGCTGCTCTCACTCTTTATGTACCGGGTGAGTGAACTTGTCTTTAGCAATCGATGGAGGCGACTGAGCTAATGAGTGACAGCGTCATACATCTTATTCTCCCACCTGATGAAGCAACGTAGAAAGGTACTCGGGAACCCAAAGGCTTAGGTTATTCACGGTCAGGTTATCACAGAACGTTGTAGTGCTAGCTAGTCAGCTTCTCGTGATTCTTATACATTCCTCGGGGCAAGACGAAAGGTAGTATCCAAGCTGTTTTAGTCCACTACATAGAGACCTCCAACATACATCCGTATAACTCTCCCACAGCCAAAGGCAGTCTTATATTAAAATCAATTTAGACGCAACATTCTTTATGCGGGGGCACATGACAGCAACAATAGCCCCTCTTCAGTATCAAGGTAACGCAGCCTACATCATTCCCGCATACCTGCTACTGCGACTTCTTGAGTTGCTGGAATCGACGACACCGGCTGCGCGGCTTCTCGTTCTTCAATCTGGCCCGTCCCAAGTATGCCCCCTGTGGCCTCCGTGTTTGTATTGGCAGCCATTGCGTTTTTCTTCTGCAGCCAGCCCTCAAATCCTTCGCCAAATCGTTCGACCAACTCCTTCATCTCGCCTCGAACTCTGTATGTTTATTAGCAGTGCTTACTGTTCATGCTGCCAATCAAGTATGCAACTTTAGACTTACAATTCCCGATAGTTGGTGTTTCCGGGATACAAGGCGGAAGAACAGATATTGAAACGGCTGTCAGGCAAGTCGTCAGTATTGGCTCAACACAGCCGTGGGCACAGAAAGTCGCTTTACGTACAGGGCATAGAGCATGTTGCGCCCATCAAAATCTTCAGCAGGAGCTGAGACAGTGAAATGGTTTAGATAGGCCTTGACGTACGGCTTTCCCATCTTCTGCCTCACAGGTCGCCACGGTGACATCTCGTCTGCAGGATTGCCGTCAGACCATATCTGGCACTACTGGAACTGGGTGTGGGACCTCACATTCGTTATGGGCATACAGGCAGCATGCGTCGAATATCTTCGGCATGCCTGTGTCCAGATCTGTTCCGGTGTTGCCTTCCCATAGGTCGCCATGGACCAAGCGAGGGAGGATCTTCCTCTCGCCAAATTCCATGGGTCGCAAGAGTCGCGGCACGACTTGGGCCATGACCTTTTCCCTAAGGGCAGCGAACTCATTATCTAAGCCCTGTGAAGCGAGCTCATGTTCGAACATTATGTTAATGTTTCTCGTGAAGCACTCCTCCCAGGTATCGCACCACGTCGTATCCTGTGGTAGGCGACCCTGGTATGTCGTGATGGGAAATCCAAATTTCCCGTTGGGGGAAATGCCTTTGGTATGAAGTTCGGCGACGAGTTTGGGAAAAGTCTCGAGAGAGCACAGCTGGTCATCCATCTCGTGAAAGTCACACAAGAAAAAATGTATGTTGTCGTTAGACTTGTACGTGCCCCAAGAAATCGGCTTCGGCGCGAGCTCCGGAAGCGTCGAGTGCAAAGCGCTCATGGAAATGAATTCTCCGTTGACCATGCCTTTTCCTACTTCGCCGATCGAGACCTATCGAGGCGGGTTCGTATCAGCAATCCGAAACCGCGTGTACATGGTGTTTGACTTGCCTTGAGGAAATACGATGTCATTTGTTCATCCTCCTCCATCACAACGCGGGCTGTCCTCGTCCAAAAGCTTGCCCCATGAGAGCTGATCTCGAGGAATTCCGAACCTTTGGGAAGCGCTAGAGCTGAAAGTCAATCATCGCCGACCCCCGTTGTAGCGACAAGCAGGTGAACTCACCAGCCTGCACGTTTTCATCCAGGTAAGTAACAAATTCTTCTGGAACTTCTGGCTCCTGCTCCCAATGAGGGAGTCCATCCCAGGCCTCGTCCGTCATTGTGCTTCCAAGAGTTGTGTAGCGGCACCTGCTTGTGAGTGAATTGTCTTTCCGTAGTTGACGTTGAGCCTTTGAGAGCAGCTCAAGTGTTGGGGCGATTGCACATTTATCAAGATGCTTGTCATAACACTTGGTGCGGGGAACGTAACTGCGTAGCTTGGCAATAACGAGGCGGCAAGAAGGTCGTTCTGGTCGCACATTGGGACTTCGATCAGGCTGCGTCGCTGCAACCACTCTCGGTCTTCGGTCACAGAATCGGGGCGAGAGAGGTGGGGGAGGCGAAAGAGACGTGTCGTATTTGTGCCACAGCCTGGTGCTTGGGCTGCCTCATGCGCATGATCCTTCATGCATACGCCCGACAATATCACAGGTCTGGGCTGAGTCCTTCAGCATGTGCTCTACACCGCGTGGCGTCGAGCAGACGGTGACGATTGGAGACGAATCCTTTTCTGAATGATGACACTGCAGTATACAGTATACCACAGCCTGCTCCGAGCCTGATGTTCCAAATCGTGGACCAAATCGTGGACATGGTGTGATACCCACTGTCGTTTCTTCCGAAATCAGGGCGCGCGACATCGCTTCAGTTACTTGAACGATCACCTGGAAGAGAGAAAAATAAAGGGGAAAAAGAAGGCTGAGTTTGCGGAAGTGATTATTCTCATCGTACTCCGATGCCTAAATCGTGCCATGACTGTGCCACACGCGCACTGCTCGCCTGTCAGCTGGAGGCCACCATCGCAGCTGGACGTCCAGTCGAACCCATGTCATTTTACGCCACTTGCAGAAGTGTCATACCCATCACCCGAATGTACCTGGACCGATGAGCCCCAAGGTAAGTACCTAGGGGGTAATCTTCCATGGTCAGACACGCTGTCAACCGTTCTATCGGGAGCAGCATCAAACATAGCCAACTGTTGACGCACAACCTCCAATGCTTCTTCAGTCTCTTCGCTTGCGTCGCGCTAGAGTCTCCTCGACCAGCAACGTCTCACGACGATGGAAAGGATCAAAAATGAAGAGTCCACGCAAAAAGCACGCCGGGCCTTCACCCTCAGAAGCGTAGCCCGGCGCGACACTACAACAAGATCCGACGGTGGCGGCGGAAAAGGACCCATTGGCCTCACAACATTGTTTGAGCCCAGTGTGCCGGGCATCGCCGACTTGATCTTCGTCCATGGGCTAAACGGAGGATCCTACAGTACCTGGACACAAGACGATGACCCTGACAAGTTCTGGCCAGCTAAATGGCTTCCCCACGACGAAGCTTTTCAGGATGCGCGGATCCATACGTTTGGGTACAACTCGAGCTGGGCTCAGGAGAGCGTTCTGAACATCCAGGATTTTGCTTCATCTTTACTCCTTTCTCTGAAGGATTGCCCAAAGATACCGAGAGAAGAATGGGTGAGTGCCCTCGCTGCAATTCCCTCAAATTGAGAGCTGACAAATGCCTAATAAGGCACCACCCCTCATCTTTGTCGGCCACAGCATGGGAGGCCTGGTGGTGAAGAAAGCTTTCCTGCTCTCCAAGCAGAAACAGGATTTCGCCTCTATCTCTCAGCGTGTAAATTCTGTTTATTTTCTTGCAACTCCTCATCATGGATCCGACATGGCCGAGGTCCTCGCCCGCGTCTTCGCTATGGCTGGCGAACGTCCATTTGTCAAAGAATTGACGCGGAATTCACCTACTATTCAAGCCATCAATAACGAGTTTCCAGAGCAGGCGATGGCATTCGACTCTTCTCATTCTTTGAGACGAACCCTATTAGTTACTGGATCGGAAAA